CTTCTTCTTCTTCTTCTTCTTCTTCTTTTTCTTTTTCTTCTTCTTCTTCTTCTTCTTTATCTTCCTCTTCTTCTTCCTTTCTTCTCGTTCTTTTCTTCTTACTTCCTTTATTCAATCTTCAAAATAGATGCTGAATAGCGAAAGATGAAAGTGTTCAAATATTTCGAGTCCCTCCAGAAATGTGGCATATGATATTGCAAGACAATAAGATTTTGAGAATTTTGTGTTATTGTGGCATGTTACTGACTTGTAGATGAACTAAAAATATCAACGTGCACGATGCTTTCTGACTTAACTGTTCTTTACGATGGCAATTGATAATTTTCTTATCAAGAAAATTTATTTTTTCTACGAAAAAAGCATTACTATTCAATTTAAAAATATTATAAAAAATATATATAAATAATGTAAACATTGTATAATTTATAAATTGAAAAAGAATAAGGATTTTATGTATAATAAAAATTTCAAATAATTTGATTGATTACATTAGATTTTACATATTTGTCATATCCAATATAATCTAATAATTTTTTATAGAAGAAAATTAAAATATTAACAAATTAAATAAATCTGTATATTTATTATGCGATATTCTGTGGTTGTAACTTTTGAAAAGATACCAAAATGATTGTTTAATTATTTAATTATTGAACAAATTACTCTATGATTATTCGCCATTATAAATATTATAATACATATAATAAATCATGAAGTAATAATTCAGTTTTTAATAAACATTGTGAATTTTGTGATGCGGACATTGTGAATTTTATATGTATATAATATATAATACATACGAATAAGTCACGTAGAATATTCGATCGAGTACTTCAATATTCGAGTGCACCTGTCCTATTTACGACTCTTATCCTACGTCCAACTTTATTATTTCCTTTCTACTTTCTCTCTCTTTTTTCTTCTCTTTATTCCTATATCCTATAAAAGACACGCAGCTTGTGAAAAGGATGATTGATACGACACGAAATCTTTTATTGATCGTGAGTTTATGGAAATCTTTGTTTACAACAATAAAGAAAAGATAGGATATTGCATTTAAAATATTTAACTATTAGATAATGAATGTATAAATAATTTTGAAGCATTAATGAATTGAATTATAATTAACGACATTCTCCTAAATGCGTTTAATTTTCCCTTGTCAATAGTCGTATCGAGATAATCCTTTCCATGGGCGCTTCCTTGCGAATGGTTAGGAGGTCAGCCACAATGTACATAGCTCACGCGTGGATAATATATACGCACATGACACTTAAGCTAGCTCTATAGGTACACCACTGGTCATTGCACATGCACGCAACAATCTACGCTCCTCTCACCATCATCATCTCTGTCATCAACGCGATATAATATCTTTGCATTTCGATATACAATCGGAGCTAGATCAAAATTTCTTATTATTCCTCGGAGAAAAAAGAAGAATATCGTAACTTTCTCTTCTAAAGAAAGAAAGATGCAAGAGAGATGCAAATAACCAGTACTTCTTGTAGTAAAAAACGTAAGACTTCCGCGCAAGTTTGTAAGTTAATTGTCTACCACGACTCGAATCCACTTCTATCTATTTACCTCGCGAAATGACTGTGAGCGCGATCAATAAAATCAAACTATTTCTCGGCGATTGCGAATTAATTTCTGGCAGATTGAAGTTCTGATTTTAATTAATCGGTTAACGAATAGCTGATCATTTTCATCGAATCATCCTCTCTGCCTCATGGAATGAGTGATCAATGAGCGTCTGACAATTGCCTTTAGCTCGAGCACCAAGCTGCATGAGGAAAGGAGAACGAACGAAATGCACCCGCCTGCATGTTGATGCCAAAAATTACGTCTAATTGTATTTTCAGGACGAAAGAGCAGATCGACGTCGATTGGCCCCCCCACTGTTACCAGTCATGCTGAAACATATTCGTTTCATGCGAAACATAAGAAGCAGATTGAAAGGAATCACATTTTTTAAGACTATTAAATTTAATATTACAAATCCTATGAATTATAAAATTTATTTCATAAATCTCTGTCTTTTTTTTCGATTTGATTCGTGATATACATAAAATAAAATCTAAATAATACTAAAAAAATTTCATTTATGATACACTCTTATACTTGAAAAAAAATTTAATTTAAACGCTTGTTTTTAATTTAAATGTCTTTTATTTAATATAAATATAATTTGTACAAAAAAAGATAACAAGATTATAATGTGTAATATATGTATATTATTACAGACATTATAGTACATCACATTTGTTCGTAATTAAATTAATATTTGCATAATTATAAAACTAATTCTCATCTAAATAATAAGAGACAGATTAAATAATAATGAAATTAAATGAAGTTGATATGTGATGATGTTATAATAAGAAATGGTATGTAGAATTATATATATTAATTAAATACCATTATTAAATATTACAAAGAAATTCTTTTCTGTTATTATAATTGTTACTTTAAATTAAAGTTTTATAATAAATTTTAATATAGCATATTTTTTATCAGATAAAAGACTTAATGTTTTAATGACTTCAGATTAATGATCATTTGTTATAAAAACAAATTAATATTAAAACTTTGATTAAATTCCACTATTTATAAAATTTATTTCAATTTATAACAACATTGTTAGACATATCAAATCTGCTTCTAAGTCACATAATTATATCATACTGCATCTGCAGTATTATTGTGTCAGCATTTCTCGGCAACAATGGGAGAAGCGTGTTACATTATCAATACAATAATGACTATTCAAGAGATACAGAAGATGAAAGAGAGAGAGAGACACAGATAGATAGATAGATAGATAGATAGATAGAGAGAGAGAGAGAGAGAGAGAGAGAGAGAGAGAGAGAGAGAGAGAGAGAGAGAGAGAGAGAGAGAGAGAGAGAGAGAGAGAGAGAGAGAGAGAGAGAGAGAGAGAGAGAGAGAGAGAGAGAGAGAGAGAGAGAGAGAGAGAGAGAGA